GAACCACAAAAGACCCCGAATAGCCAAAGTAATACTTAAGAATAAAACCAAAATGGGAGGTATCACCATCCCAGACTTTAGCCTCTACTACAAAGCTGTCATCATCAAGACAGTATGGTACTGGGCACAAAAACACATAGACCAATGGAATAGAATTGAGAACTCAGAATTGGACCCAAAAGTATACAGCCAACTAATTTTTGACAAAGCAGGAGAGTATCCAATGGAAAAAAGACAGCCTCTTCAACAGATGGTGCTGGGAGAACTGGACAGCAATATGCAGAAGAATGAAACTAGGTCATTTTCTCACACCATACACAAACAATAAACTCAAAATGGATAAAAGACCTGAATGTGAGACAGGAAACCATCAAAACCCTAGAAGGGAAAGCAGGAAACAACCTCCTTGACCTCCACCGCAGCAATTTCTTACTTGTCACATCCCCAAAATCAAGAGAATCCAGAGCAAAAATAAACTATTGGGACCTCATCAAGATTAAAAGCTTCCACACGGCAAAGGAAACAATCCATAAAACTAACAGGCAACCAACGGAACGGGAAAAGATAGCTGCAAATGACATATCAGATAAAGGGTTAATATCCAAAACCTATAAGGAACTCACCAAACTCCACACCCGAAAAACAAACAACCCAGTAAAGAAATGGGAAGAAGATATGAACAGACACTTTCCCAAAGAGACAATTCAAATGGCCAACAGACACATCCCTCCCTCATCAGGGAAATACAAATCAAAACCACACGCCAGTCAGAGTGGCTAAAATGAGCAAATCAGAGGACTCTAGATGCTGGATGTGGAGAAACGGGGGCACCATCCTACACTGTTGGTGGGAATGTAAACTGGTGCAGCCCCTCTGGAAAACAGCGTGGAGGTTCCTCAAACTCCCCTATGGCCCAGCAATAGCACTGCTAGGAATTTACCCGAGGCATACAGGAGTGCTGATGCATAGGAGCACATGTACCCCAATGTTCATAGCAGGACTCTCAACAATAGCCACACCATGGAAAGAGCCTAAGTGTCCATCAACTGACGAATGGATCAAGAAGATGTGGTTTATCTATACCATGGAATACTACATGGCAATGAGAAAGAATGACATCTGGCCATGTGTAGCAACATGGATGGACCTTGAGGGTGTTATGCTGAGCGAAGTAAGTCAGGCAGAGAAGGACAAATACCATATGTTTGCACATATAGGAGGATTAGGAGGAACTTAACGGAGGACCGTGGGGGAGAAGAAGGGGGGAAATGGTGGGGGAAAGGGAGAGAGGCAAACCATGAGAGACTCTTGAAAGCTGAGAACAAACTGAGGGCAGATGGGGTGGGGGAGGGGAAGGGGGGGAGATGGCCATGGAGGAGGGCACTTGTGGGGATGAGCACTGGGTGTTACATGGAAACCAACTTGACAATAAACTATTTGTAGGAAAAAAAAAAGAAAACTTAGGCTTGGGCCCCACAGGGAAGCCGTCCTTGATTACGAGAATAAAACGGGATGAGAATAATGAAAGTTTACTGTCTGGCGCATACACACGCTCCATATTAACTCATCTATCTTCATAGTCTGTGGGGCAGCATCTGTTATTAGCCCCACTTTACAGCGGACGAATGTGAGATGGTGCGTGCAGAGCACATGCTGATTGCTCAGTAAGCGCAGTTCTGTCCCCGCCATGTCCTGGCTGATAAGCTCGGAGTTCCTGCAGCCCCTGACATGTGGTCCCTCCACATCATGCTTCATCCTCCTCATCTCCCCCACCCGGGAATGACACTCCTGTGTCCCCGGGGGCAGCACCTGGCACACAGGAACCCTCAGGAAATCACTAACGTAGAGGCCCGATAGCCAGGGTTCAACCTTCACGACAGCTTCGGACCCTAAAATGTGCCCCATCACCCTCCACGCTCAATCCTATCTCGGGCCTCACAGGGGTTGAGACAAGAGAATCCCAGAATTATAACATGCAGGAAAAGCGTATAACGGGGGGCAGGGCTCCGGCTTACTTTTGGGAGAGTGTTCGGGTTTTTTTGGTTTCGGAAGCTGGTGCTCCAGGGAACCTTCCGTCTCTTGGGTCTCACCTGTCCTCCATCCCCGAGCCCCGCCTTCAACTCCACAACCTCAAGGGCGCGCACTTGTCCCCGCGCCACACCTGAGCGTAGCTCCTCACTGGGTTCCGCCCCAGCCCGGTGCACATGTGGCGCCCCCAGCCTGCACGGCCGCGGCTCTTGGAGCCAAGCGCGCACCCACACCCAAGCCTGCGGGGACGCGCACAAAAGCCCACCTCGCGCCGCAGCCCCATCCTTGCAATACGCGCAGTGCACGTGCTGCCTTCCCCTTGCGTGCCCTCACCCCTCTCTTCTCCCCACCCGACAATTCTCCAGTTAAGGGCACCACAAATCTCACCATACTTCCGTAAGAGCAGAAAATCTGAAATGCATCCATTCCTTCTTTACAATAAAGTGCACCGTGCACGGCGGCACAGAGAGACCAAAGCTCCTACCTGCTTCTCCGCGAGCGCAGACGGGAAAGGCCGCGGACTGGCCTGGAGCACTCTGGGAGCCTTGGGCGGAGCGCGTGACGTCACCGCGAGGTTCGCAGCGTGGGGGCCCAGCTGCGCCCAAAACCGCCCCGCCGGCACCTGGGAGTCATAGGCGGGTAAACCCAAAGCCTTCTGGGAATCGTAGTCTCTTCACCCACTTCCGCGTTTTCTTGGAGCCTGGACTTTGCAGCGCGGGTTCTGTTCACGTGAGTGTCCCCTTCCTCGGCGGGCCGATCTTGGCCCTTTGTCGTGCTGCCATGTAGGACTTGAGGGTCTCCATCTTACTCTCGCACGCATTGCGTTAGGCATCCCTGGAGAGATGGCACTGCTCCCCGTGATCCTCCAACGACTGTGTCCGGCGACACTCCGGGCCACAGTGCCCTAAGCAGCCGGTGTCCCTCTTGACCCGCTTTGGGCTCTGTCTAGGTTCTGACTCCTTGCTTTCCTCCCCTTCACCTGAGGGCGGTTCGAACGCAGCAGAAGCCTCTTCTGCCCTGGTTAGAAGCTAGTGATCACTGCTGGTTTGCGGGGGCGGGGGGAGGGGGGATGTCAGGCGGCCTTGGGAGCCCAGAGGGGGCGCCAGACCCAGCTCAGATTTCAGTAAAGACTTCCAGACAAACTAAGGACCTCAAAATTACCGTGCCCAAACAAAACTGCAGATTCTCTGGTCTAAACCTACGCCTCTCTCAGTATTTCTCTATTCTTCCCTCCTCCCCACGTCCTCCCCATGAAATGGCCCCACCATCCTTGCAAGTGCTGAAGGGAGAACCTTGAAGTCCTATGTTTCTCTCACCTACTGCCTCCCTCGTTCAAGTCTCGTGAGTCCAACCTGCTGTGTTTCCAGAAGAGATCCAGAATCTGACCGCTTCTCTCCACTCCCACTGCCTCTGCCCAGCCCTGAGCCACATTATTGCTCATCTGGACCATTGCAGAGGCCTCCTCACTGGTCTGCGTGTGTCTTCCCTCGCCACTCTCCACCCTCTGTTCCCACGCAGCTGCCTGAGGCATCCTGTTAAAGTATAAATGAGTCCCTGTCACTCCACAGCTTTCAACCATCCAATGGTTCTCAGCTCGTTCATAACAAACTCTAACCTCCTCACCCGGCCAACCCCCACGCCCCAGATGCTCTCTCGCCCTCAGCAATAATTCACTTTACAAGCAACTGAATACAGGCCCTGGCCTTCAGGTCCTTTGCATTTGCTATTACTATCTGGAACATTCTTCCCACCCTCATCTAATTGCCTGAGTCCTTCTCATCCTTCTGGCCTCAGCTCAGAGGATAATTCCCTCATATTACTCCTTATATTTGTAAAGTGTCTTGGTTATTTACTTATCATGGGTTGGCTCGTCCTTTAGGAACTTAGTGCTTGCAAACTTTACTGTTTTGCTCATTGCTGTTCCAGTGCCTAACGCATGTTAGGGTAGATGGGAGGCAATGAATGGACACCTGTTGAATGAAGGAACGAATGATGAAAGTTTACGCGGAGTCTTGAAGGAGCCATGATTGTACAAGTGCTAGGAGAGTGTTCCAGGCAATGGGTGTACGCACTCTGGGCGCTTTCCAGGCGGGCTTCCCGGAGACATCGACCCCACAATCGGGAATCTGCACGTAACCCGCCTCCCCTCTCGCCCTGTCCAGGGGAAGCCAACTCCTCTCTGCCCGCCCGCAACCCGCGATGCCTGCCCCGCAGTGCGCCTCCTGCCACGCGGCGCGCGCCGCCCTCCGCCGCCCGCGCTCCGGCCAAGCGCTGTGCGGCGCCTGCTTCTGCACCGCCTTCGAGGCCGAGGTGCTGCACACGGTGCTGGCGGGCCGCCTGCTGCCGCCCGGCGCCGTGGTGGCCGTGGGCGCCTCGGGCGGCAAGGACTCCACGGTGCTGGCGCACGTGCTGCGCGAACTGGCGCCGCGCCTGGGCGTCTCGCTGCGCCTGGTGGCCGTGGACGAGGGCATCGGCGGCTACCGGGACGCGGCGCTGGCGGCCGTGCGGCGCCAGGCGGCGCGCTGGGACCTCCCGCTCACCGTGGTGGCCTACGCCGACCTGTTCGGGGGCTGGACCATGGACGCCGTGGCCCGCAGCACGGCCGGCTCCGGCCGCAGCCGCGCCTGCTGCACCTTCTGCGGGGTGCTGCGGCGCCGCGCGCTGGAGGAGGGGGCGCGCCTCGTGGGAGCCACGCACATCGTGACGGGTGAGCGCGGGCGCCGCGGCCGAGGGGCGCGGGGCGGGCACTGCAGGGGGGCTGGGGGCGTGCCCAACAAGTGGTGAAGGAGACGCCGGCTGTGCCCGAAGTGGAGGGTCTCCAGGAGAAGGGGGTGTGCCTGCCCGCTGCTGGCACATGCGCAGAGTCTGTGCGCGCCTGGGATGGGCGCGGCCAGCTCTGAGCCGCTGCTTTCACGTTGGCAGTGGAGGGCGGAGGGGTGCTTGCTGGGGATGGGGCTGGGGTTCCCCGCAGTTTTCAAAATGACCTTCTCGGTCTCCTTTAACAAAAGGGGGCATGTGAAGTGGTACCACCCATCAGAAGCCCTCTGTAGTCTGAAACGCAACTCTGAAACTCCCTTTGTCTGTCGCCCTTTCTCTCTGAGAACTTATTCTCTCCCAGTCATTGCTTCGGCACGTAATTGCTGACCATTTCCTGAGCACCAGATACAAGCTATGTCGCCTAGAGCGATACCTAACCTCGGTTACCTCATCTGTAAAACGGGGTTCTTAATATCGAGGTCCTAGGATCGCTGGGAATTAGGTGAGTTATGCGTGAGGCACTTAGACCAGAGACTGGGAAACAGCAGACATTACAGAAACGTTTGCCGACCCGATGCAGTTCGAGAAGCCCCAAGAAGACCAGTGTTTTACTATCAGACCAGACTCAAGTGTAAGGCGACAAGATGCAGAATAAGCAGACACTTAGCTGACATTGATGGCGACTGTCGCGTGAATACTCCCTGCAGTTCCCGCCGGCCTCCCTGCACGCGCTGATCTGCACTCCCAGGCACCGGACCGCGGCTCACTTGAGAATCTCCGCTGACTGTTAAATGCCACTTTGACTTCCGTGCGGCGTGAAGCACACTTTTAACTGAGTCTGACATGCTGCTTGTAGCATAAAGCACTTTTACCACCTTCCAGAAAACGCAACTAGCACAGGGCCTGGTTGGTGATAAGTGGGTGACAAAGGAGGGCCCCCCGGGTTGTCTCCTAGAAGCCTGTGTGTGTCCGCCTCTCGTTTCTCACTGTGTCCACCTCCACCTGGCTGTCGCATGGTGCCCAGGGGTCTCCATGGCCCTGTCTGGCCCTCTCTGCTGCTCTACCCCCCCCCCACCTCCCATCTCTCTCTGGGTCCTGGGCGCCCCGCAGTGCCTGGGGGTGGGGTGGGGTGTCCAGCCCGGGTCGCCCACTCTGTGCTGCTCTCCAGGGCGCCTCCCCGTCCGTCTGGGTCCTGGTTACCCCACGGTGGCGCCCGCACCTCACTGGCTCCCCGTCTCTCTCCCCCAGGCCACAACGCCGACGACATGGCGGAGACCGTGCTCATGAACTTCCTGCGGGGCGACGCGGCGCGGCTGGCCCGGGGCGGGGGCCTGGGCTCGCGGGGCGAGGGGGGCGCGCTGCCGCGCTGCCGCCCCCTGCAGCTGGCCTCGCAGAAGGAGGTGGTGTTGTACGCGCACTTCCGCCGCCTCGACTACTTCTCGGAGGAGTGCGTCTACGCGCCCGAGGCCTTCCGCGGCCACGCGCGCCAGCTGCTCAAGCTCCTGGAGGCGGCGCGGCCGTCGGCGGCGCTGGACCTGGTGCACTCGGCCGAGCGCCTGGCCTTGGCCCCGGCCGCGCGGCCCCTGCCCCCCGGCGCCTGCTCCCGCTGCGGGGCGCTGGCCAGCCGCGCGCTCTGCCAGGCGTGCGCCCTCCTGGACGGCCTGCAGCGCGGCCGGCCCCGCCTGGCCATCGGCAAGGGCCGCGGGGGGCGCGACGAGGAGGGGCCGTCGGCGCCGCGGGAGCCGGAGCGGCCGCCACCCCCGCCTCCCAGCGACCCCGGCTGTGCGCCGGGCCCCGCCGCCGGGGAGTGCGGGGCCGCCTGCAAAGAGTGCTGCGAATAAACCCAAGTGGCCTCCACCCGGGCTTCGGTGCGAGTTTGGAGTTTGGGAGGGGGCGGACGGGACCGGTTACCCGCGACCCCGCAGAAGCTGGAGCCGGGACTCCTGCGGCTGAGGGAGGAGGGATGGGGCGGGAACTCCAGCAACTGACGGAGGCGGGGCTGGGGGTCTGGACTCCCGGGTCTGAGGGAGGAGGGGCTGGGGGCCTGGACTCATGGGTCTGAGGGAGGAGGCCCTGGGAGTACGGACTCTTCTGTCTCAGAGAGGAGAGAACTGAACAGCTTCCTATTCCAGGGCTAGTGGGAATTAGGGGGCGCCCCTTAGTACTCTGCCAGGTTCTGGGCGCGCTCAGAAGAGTCCAACCCTTCTTGATCACGTACTGTGTGTCATGTGTGTCTGTAGTGGGATTAGCAAAACCACCTGACTTGGTGGACTCTGGTCATTTACAATACCCATGTTGCTTATCTCTGAGTGCTTTGCCTACTGCAGACACCACAAGGTCTCATTTCCATCAAAGCAGGATCTCATCGGCCTGAGGCCCCACAACTGACTGAGGTCACCTAGCTGGAGAAGGATAGAATTGGGGGCTTGCACCGGAATCTGCCTGAGGCTCTTCAAGACTGTGGTCTTGCTCCCTACCCCCACCTGAATCTCTCCTGGTGTCTCTGTGATGGGTGAGGAGAGCTGGGTGGGCTCCCCACACCTTGAATTATGGAGGCAGAGCTGGGTGAGCCTGGGTCAGTGACTTAACCTCTCTGGTCTTCAGTTTCCTCCTCTGAAATGGAGCCACCCCTCTCCCTCCAATCAAAACACTGTGGTGAGGATTTGATAGAATGCTCAATAAATAGTGGCTGACTTGTGGTTCATATTAAATTTTGGCCACCAGCGGGTTCTGGGTTTCAGATTGCTACCCTACACTGCCAGAACGTATGAGGCCCAGAAGCTTCCAGCATGACCCCTGGGGAGAGACTTGGGGTCTCAGCCCCACCTCCCAGTTTTGCTGGCCTAGTCCTTTGTCAGGAAGGCCCTCCCTTTGCCATCTTCCTGCTCAAATCCTGCAAGGGCCTTCTGGAAGCCTCCTGATTCTCTCTTCTCACCTGCCCAGCCCAGAACATAGGAGTTAAGTCCCAGCCCCTGGATCCTGCCCTCATGTGTGGCCATCCACACTCAGGTTCTTATTCTCCCTAACTGGAATGTGTTTTGAGGATCAGCTCTCCCTCCCCAACAGATAACCAACATCATTTATTAAACATTTATTGAGTCCCTACTGTGTGCAGGGCCATTTCTAGACATTGTTGGGAGGAGAAGAAAAAAGACAAAACCTCTCGCTCCGGGCGCCTGGTTGGCTCAGTCAGGAGAGCATTCGACTCTTGGTCTTGGGCTCGTGAGTTCGAGCCCCATGTTGGGTGCAGAGATTACCAAAAAAAGAAAAAAGAAAAACTCTCCGGGGTGCCTGGGTGATTCAGTCAGTTGAGCAACAGACTCTTGATTTCGGCTCAGGTCATGATCCGTGAGCATGGAGCCTGCTTGGGTTCTTTCTCCCTCTCTGCCCTTCTCCTTGGCTTTCATGCGTGCGTGCCCTTTCCCCCTAAATAAAAAATAAACAAAAAAAGAACTCTCAGTCATGGAGCTTATAGTATTGTGGGAGAGAGGGTAGACAAGTAAGTATGTAACGTGACCTCTGATGATGCATGCTATGAATAACAGGGCTAAATGCAAAAGGGTGTGGAGGGGGTGCTCTTTCAGTTTGGGAGGTCAGGGCCTTTTTGAGAAAGTGACTCAGGAGGGGACCACAAAGTAAAGCCAGGGAGGTTTCTAGCCACGGCAGACTATCTCATGTCACAGGAACACTTCCACGGAGGCCCACTGGAAAAAAAAATAGGGATAACAAAGCAATCTATTTGAAGACATCAAAGAGCTCCCAGGGCAGCCTGGATCCCACAGAAAAGAGGCTCATTTTGGCGGAGGGCCAGAAGGCCATGGAAGCAGGCAGAAAGCATAGGCTAAAGAGGCTGGGACCTGAGCATAACTTTCAACCGTGATGGGCCTGGACAGAGAGAGAACAGGAGTCTGGGGCTACGGGGGCAGGGACTGGATGGGCCAGAATTTGGAGGGAAGGGAACAGCATTGAGGTCAGCCCGACATTGTGCTCCTGTTTTCCCCTGGGCAGGCTCAGGAAGCCCAATACACACCATTTGAAGTTCGGGGTCTCGTAGAAAGTCGAGACCCAGCAAGCACCTGTTAGGACCCAAGTCGGGTTACAAATTTGAAGTAAGGGTCACCTGGAGTAACACTCATCCACAGAAACACCAGAACCCAGGTTCAAATACACTTAATCCCAAAGCGGGTTAAGAAGATCCCTACTCTGGGGGCACCTGGATGGTTCAGTCGGTTAAGCGTCCAACTCTTGATTTCAGCTCAGGTCATGATCTTACAGTTCGTGAGTTTGAGCCCCACATCAGGCTCTGCACTGACAACATGAAGCCTGCTTAGGAATCTCTCTCTCCTTCCTTCTCTCTCCCTTTCTCTCTTTCTCAAAATAAATAAACTTAAAAAAATTGCCAGGGGTTTGGAGAAGATGATCGAGCACCAAGAGAATAACCACACAGACATGATCCCAGGTGATCCAGATGTAGGAGTAAAGGCATGGACTTTATCCATCATTACCATGTTCAGGAAAATAGACACTAGCATGGAAAATTTCACTGTTGAATCAGAGTACAGTTTTTAATGTTTATTTAGAGAGAGGCAGAGTGTGAGCAGCGGAGGGACACAGAGAGAGGGAGACACAGATCTGAAGCAGGCTCCAGGCTCTGAGCTGTCAGCACAGAGCCCGACGCGGGACTCGAACTCACAAACTGTGATTTGACCTGAGCCAAAACCAGGAGGGGGACGCTTGACTGACTGAGCCACCCAGGTGCCCTTAAATGAGTCCTAACTTCTGAAATGTCCCTTTAGCCTCACAAGGTCTCCCTACAGTATCTGTTTGGTCTTCCCTTCTTACTCACCACTGTTTCCCCCGACCTTGAGGCCTGACTGAGGCTTTCCCCTCATCTGATATCTACCTTTCATGTAAAATGAAGGGAAACTTAGAATGTACCTCTGTGACCCATCGGCTCCCAATATTATATCTCAGCCAGACTTGGGATGCTTCATTCCTTCAAAGGAGTTGAATCAGGGCTCGCCATAGCCCCAGGCACAGAGGCAGGGTCACGAATCTTGTGCTGTCATCCAGAGTTCTTTGGCAGCACAAAGAAGGGCTTAAAAGCAAGGAGAACAAGGGGCACCTGGGTGGCTCAGTCTGTTAACTGTCTGACTCTTAATTTTGGCTCAGGTCATGATCTCAGGGTTTGTGAGTTTATGCCCCACATCTGGCTCTGCGCCGACAGCTCGGAGCCTGCTTGGGATTCTCTCTCTCCCTCCCTCTCTCTGCCCTTTCCTACCCTCTCAAAAATAAATAAACTTAAAAAAGCAAGAGCAAATATCAACCTGCTGAAAAGGGAAAGGAGTGAGAGTTTTCTGGACAGCGTGAAGGCAGTCAGAGGCAAGGCACCCAGTGTTCTGTGAGAAATGCATAGTGTCTCTGAAGCTGAGGCCCCAGGATGAGTGGATTCTCAGAGGGTGACTAAGGAGAAGCTTGGACGTGCTTTGGCCAGCACCTCTTTCCCCTAGGACAGAATATCATGCCAGTCAATCCAACCCCTTCTTTTATCTCTGCATCAGAGGCAGGTCAGGGAACTGCCTCCAGAGGGCGCTCCACTCACCATGCCAGACCTGGGGACCTCCCACCCCAAGGGTTGGTGCTGTCCATGGTTCTGGAGCAAAGCTGGTGAGTTCAGGAAACCCCAACTATGCCAAGCACCCCAATCCACAGGCACAAGGTCCTGAGCTCTAGGCCGGCAGGACACTTAGGTCGGAGCAGTTTCAGAAAGCCTAGGTCCTTCTTAGGAAGGAGGAGCCAGAAGAAGGGGTGGAGTGGACTTGGCTCATCTCTGCATTTCCCCATAACCCTCTTGTTGGCTTAACATGCATTCTAAACTTGTGGTGCCTGCCTGGCGAAGGGACAGGGAGGATCAATGTCTTCTCTGAGGCTCCAGGTTATGCTCATGCTGCTGGCGCTTGGACCACACTATAAGAAGCAACCCTGTGCCCAGGTCTCACCCCCCTTCCCCCAGCAGAGGACTAGGAAAGAGATGGATCTTCATTGGAGGTCCATATGTGCTGACTCAGGGTTGTGCCTTTCTATATATTGCCCCACTGAACCCTCACAACAATTCTAGAGAAGACTAGTTAATAATTCTCCTCATTGAGTGGGAAACTGAGACTTGATGTGATAAGCAACCTTCACAGGGTCTCACATCATTGATGTGCATTTGGGGGCTGGGACTGTGATCCACACAAGCCTGATAACATAGATAGTGACTCTAGAACCCACTGTACCCTGGTCTCAGGAAAGCAGGTGATGCACACTGGGAAGGCGTTTTATTTATAAGAGGTGGACACCCTCAGACAATAGTCTGGGACTGATGGTGAAAGCACACAGCAGAAGGAGCCATGGGGTGTGGTGGGGGGAATCTAAAGGGACCAAGTTTGTGTCTCCAAAGACTGGTCCCCATGTCATCTTCTAGCTCTATCAGGAGATTCTGCCCTAGTGGACATGCAATATGCTTACTCTTAATGACAGAGTGGATTTCACTTACCATTTGCCAGTGGAGTGTCCCTAGAAGAGGAAGTTCCCCTGTGAACTTCATATTTTAGGGAAGCTACCAAGCTTGTCAGGCCTCCACTTAGAATTAAGATCTCAGTGTGACCTATAGAGAGGGTAGTTTTTGAAAATGGTAGGCCAGCTATGGAGAAGCAGGGGACTGGGGGAGAAACTGGGCATAACGGGGAAGAATGTGCAGAGATTAAAAAAAAAAAAAGCAGGGCACCTGGCTCAGTCAGTTGGTGGAGCATGAGGTTCTTGATCTTGTGGTTGTGAGTTCAAGCCTCATGTTGGGTGTAGAGATTACTTAAAAATAAAATCTTTTTGGGGCGTCTGGGTGGCTTAGTCGGTTAAGCGTCCGACTTTCGCTTAGGTCATGATCTCGCGGTTCGTGGGTTCGAGCCCCGTGTCGGGCTCTGTGCTGACTGCCAGCTCGGAGCCTGGAGCCTGTTTCGGAGTCTGTATCTCCCTCTCTCTCTGACCCTCCCCTGCTCACGCTGTCTCTCTCTCCTAGAAATAAATGTAAAAATATTTAAAAAATAATAATAATAAATAAAATCTTTTTAAAACACACACACACATCATCTTACACCTGTCAGAATAACTAAACTCAAAAACAAGAGGGGCACCTGGCTGGCTCAGTCATAAAAGCATGTGACTCTTGATCCCAGTGTTGTGAATTTGAGCCCCACATTAGATGTAGAGATTACTAAAAACAGAATAAACTAAAAAAAAAAAACAAAAAACAGGTGTGCCTGGGTGGCTCAGTTGGTTAAGTGTCCGACTCTTGATTTCAGCTCAGGTCATGATCTCACTGTCATGACATTGAGCCCCATGTTGGGCTCCATGTTGGGCATGGAGCCTGCTTGGGATTCTCTCCCACTCTCTGCCCATCTCCCACTCACATTCTCATTCTTTCTCTCTTCAAAAAAAAAAAAAAACAACCAAAAACAAAAACCCAACAACAACAAAAAAACAAAACTGTAAGAAAAAATGAATGTTGGTGAGGCTGTGGAGAAAAAGGTACCTTATGGATTGTTGATAGGAATACAAACTGGTATAGCCACAGCGAGAAAACAGTATGTAGATTCTCCAAAAAAAATTAAAGATGGGGCTCCTGGGTGGCTCAGTCGGTTAAGCGTCCGACTTCGGCTCAGGTCGTGATCTCACGGTTTATGGGTTCGAGCCCCACATTGGACTCTGTGCTGACAGCCAGCTCAGAGCCTGAGGCCTGCTCCGGATTCTGTGTCTCCCTCTCTCTCTGACCCTCCCCTGCTCATGCTCTCTCTCTCTCTCTCTCTCAGAAGCAAATAAAACATTAAAAAATAAAAAAATTAAAAATAGAAATACCATATGATCCAATAATTCCACTCCTAAGTATTTACCCAAAGAATGCAAAAACACTAATTCCAAAAGATATACACACCTCTATGTTTATTGCAGCATTATTTACAAGAGTCAAATTGTGGAACAGAGAAATGTTCATCAAGAGATGAATGGGTAAGGAAGACGTGGTATACATATACAATGGAATATTACTCAGCCATAAACAAGAATGAAATCTTGTCATTAACAACAACATGGATGGATCTAGATGGTATAAAGGTAAGCAAAATAGGTGAGCCAGAGAAAGACAAATACCATATGATTTAACACATATGTGGAATTTAAGAAACAAAACAAATGAACAAAGAAAAAAAGAGATAAACCAAAAAACAGACTCTTAACTCTAGAGAACAAACAGATGGTTATCAGGGGGAAGGGGTGGAGGGGGGAATAGGTGATGAGGATTAAGAGTATACTTACCCTCACGAGGAACACTGAGTAAGATATAGAACTATTGAATCACTACATTGTACCAGCTGAAATTAATGTAACATTTTATGTTAACTATGCTGAAATTAAAAAATAAAATAAAACATAAAATAAAGTAAAAGGAAGAAAAGAAAGGAAGGGAAAGGAAAGGAAATAAAAGAAAAGACAAAATAGAAAAGAAAACCCACAGGCCCAATATGGCATCACTTAGGCCAAATCTCCAAAATGGCAGCACTTAGGTTAAAACATACCTAACTGCAGTTTCAACCTCATATAACCAGGGCACAGAGGTGCAAGCGCACCTGCTCCAGGGATCCCAAACAAACTGGGTTGGCCACTTGCTGCTGACAAAATCCAAAGGCAGAGACATAAGTGGTGGTGGAACAAGAAAGGGATTTACTTCAGTGAGGCCAACCCTGGGGAAGACGCAGGACTAACATCTCACGCTGTCTTCAGAGCGCTGGAAATATTCCTAGGTTTATATGAGGAACACGTGCAATGAAGGGCAGTGGGGACACGCGGCTGAGCAGTAAAGGTCAGGTTGATTATGATCTTGGGATCAGTCATTCCGGGTCTTGCTGGCTCAGGGCAATCTTTTACTGCTTAAGAGGTTAGTTTCAGTTCCCAACATGGGATGCTTTGCCTGCAAGGTCTTTTGCCTGACTGAAGAAGAACTTGGAAAGAAGTTGGAAAGAAGAACTGAATCAATTAGAAAGTACAGACCAAGGTCAAAGTGGAGGTAAAGTCCTCATTCTCCCCCAGAAATATAGTCTTAACCAGTCAGTCAGGAATTTAAAAAAAAATTTTTTTTTTCAATTTACAGCCAAGTTAGGATATAGTGCACTGATGGTTTCAGGAGTAGAATGCAGTGACTCATCCCCTATGTATAACACCCAGTGCTCATCCCAACAAGTATCCTTAATGCCCCTTGCCCATTTAGCCCATCTTCCCCACCCACAGCCCCTCCAACAACCTTGTTTGTTCTCTGTATTTGAGAGTCTCATGTTTTGTCCCCTTCCTTGTTTTTATATTATTTTTGCTTCCCTTCCCATATGTTCATCTGTTTTGCATCTTAAATTCCACATATGAGTGAAGTCATATGATATTTGTCTTTCTCTAATTTTGTTCGGCATAATACTCTCTATTCCATCCACGTAGTTGCAAATGGCAAGATTTCATTCTTTTTAATTGCCGAATAATACTCCATTGTATGTATAAAACACATCTTCTTTATCCATTCATCTGTTGATAGACATTTGGGCTCTTTCTATACTTTGGCCAATGAGTTCAGTGCCAATGAGTTGGCCACAGGACACCTCTATCCCTCAAAGGAAGACGAGGTCATCTGCAGGAGAAGACCCCTTACCTTCACTCCCTACACACAAGGAGAGCAGCCTTGCCTGAAACAATCCTTTCCTGTAGCTAGTAACTTTCTTGCTCCACCCCTTCTAGAAAAACTTTTTTTTTATTTTGAAAAACTTTTCTTTTGTATGGCAATCAAAAGTTTAATGTCAGGCACTTGGGATCAGAAAAACTTGTTGAAGGCACCTGGATGGCTTGGTTGGTTAAGCATCCAACTCTTGACTTTGGCTCAGGTCATGATCTCATGGTTTGTGAGTTCAAGCCCAGCATTGAGTTCTGCACTGACAGTGTGGAGTCTGCTGGGGATTCTCTCTCCCCCTTTCTCTGCCACTCCCCCACTCGCTGTCTCTGCCTCTCTCAAAATAAATAACAACAACCAAAAAAAAAAAGCTTACTGGTAGAAGTTTTGGCTATTTTCGTTTTAGTGCTTTCTTGGAAAAACAAATGAATTAGTCCAACTTTAGAGGAGAAGAGCATATGAGCTCTTCCTTCAGTCCAGGTTCTCAGGGCAGATCTGTGCACAACTCAGGGGTGAAGGACAAGCCAGGGTCTGCCAGGGGAAGCAAAAAGGCAGGGCCTCCAGGATCTCAAATTACACAGTCGTGGGTGAGAACAACATGGCGGTTGTAGGAGGAAAGGCCGAGAGGAGCACAGATGAACAGTGCTAAAGAATAAAAATTCACCCAAGGTGCCTGGTTGGTTAAGTCCATTAAATGTCTGACTTCAGCTGAGGTCATGATCTCACAGTTCGTGAGTTGGAGCCCCCCATCCGGCTCTCCATGTAGAGCCTGCTTTGAATCTCTGTCCCTCTCCCCTTTCTCTGCCCCTCTCTCGCTCACACACTCTCTCTAAAAAATAAATAAACAGGGGCGCCTGGGTGGCTCGGTCGGTTGAGTGTCCGACTTCGGCTCAGGTCATGATCTCACAGTTTGTGGGTTCGAGCCCCCCATCGGGCTCTGTGCTGATAGCTCGGAGCCTGGAGCCTGCTTCGGATTCTGTGTCTCCCTCTCTCTCTGACCCTCTCCTGCTCATGCTGTCTCTATCTCTCTCTCAGAAATAAATAAAATATTTAAAAATAAATAAATAAATAAACGTTTGTAAAAAAGAACAAAAATTCAACCAAGGAAATCAGGGCATGTAATTGCCTTTATTCAGACTAATGAATCCGGCAGCATCCCTTTCAGTAAAGAGGTGCTCTGAGGAGTTGTAAGTAGCGGAAGGTGTTTATAGGCAGGAGGGTGGCAGAAGGAAGTATTCTCAAAAGAAAGGAAGGATTTTTTTTTTCAGATCGGGCCATCTTTTGGGGGGAAGATCTTACCCTGCAGGTGACCTCATCAGTGCTGATCAGGAAATTTCAGAACGACCGTGTAAAGGTCGCATTTCTGGGAGAGGCGGAAACATCAGTGAATCTTAGGTTTGCTGTTGTGGGGGAAAGTACCTCCCTCCATTTGGGGCCCGTTGTTTCTTTTCTAACAGTAGATAGCAGGGGTGGGGGGGTTGGTGGACTTTAAATGCTGGGGGCAGGGGCGGATGCTTGTGATGTACTGTCTAAGCCTAGAGAGCCTTGAACGGGTTTGTGTGGGAGACTCAAGGTCAGCTCTCTGGCTGTTGGACAGATCCCTGTGGAGCCCATAAGTGAGACAGGGAAGGGACTGGAAGTCAGGAGGTGTCGGAATGTGCTGGAAGAATTGACAGATACAAGTGTGATGAGAAGACTCCACAGAGATGATATGATGCTGTATAGTGAAACCAAAAACCAGACTGAGGGGCTGGTCTTTCCCTGGGGAGGCTCTGAAGGAGAATGACACCAGCCAGTTGCTACTGTGTGCCCTGGACCTGGTCACCCTCAGCCCCAGGGTAACTTTCCGGCAGGACCTTTCTGTCCAAAGAAGAGAGATCAGTAGGCACTGAGCCCTCATGGTGCAACAGGACCTCCATTGGCTGATTTCTGTGTGTTAATTTCTTTACTGTTCACAACCACCTTCAAGGCAGAATGCGAGATCTCTCTCTGATTCACAGAACAGGAAACCGAAGCATGGAGAGATGAAGTGATTTGCTTGACAGCCTGCGTTTGAGCTCAGATCTGCTCCCCCCGGGGATGTGTGGACAGTCCTGCTCTTTCGTATTGCCACAGGGCTCCACACACTTCATCAGCTGGTGCCTGACTCTCCTTTCCCCCCAGCGCTGGGATTCCTGGGGCCGCCACCGAGCTCCGGCAGCCCTCACTTGCTTATCTTGATCTCTGAGTACTCGCTGGTGCTGGTGGCCTCCTGGTCCTGAGGTTCCCTCTCCTTCATCCCGTGGAAGCTGAAGGAGGCGTAATGGGGCTCCTGCTGCTCCTCAGAGGGAGGGGCATCCCCGGCCAGGGTCACTTGGTCTGGGGCGCCATCTGGGCAGGGCTTCTTCCTGGACCCCTGAGTGAAAGAGAAACAGGAGAGTCCGAGAAGGAATGAGGGAGACATGGTCCCCTCCAGGGGAAGTTGGGCCATTTGTTCATTCATCCTCTTATTCACACACATTTCCTATGAACTTAACGATTCACTCATCCATTTATTTTTTAAAGTTTATTTATTTATGTTGAGGGGGAGAGAAAGAGAATGAGCATGGAAAGGCCAGAGAGAGAGACAGAGACAGAGAGAGGGAGAGACAAAAATCCCAAGCTGACAGCATGGAGCCCGATACTGGGCTCAAACTCACGAACTGTGAGATCATGATCTGACCTGAAATCAAGAGTCAGACGCCTAACTGACTGAGCCACTCAGGCACCCCTCACTCATCCAATTAAAAGTCTGTAATGCTATGACTGATTAGGCCATTTTGAAGGCTTACTAATTACATTTAATCTTCACACACACACAGGACAGTATGAATGGTACTTATTATCCCCATTTTACAGGTAAGGTAGACTGAGGTGGGGGGGAGGTAGAGTAACTTGCCCAAGGTTACTCATCTAGTAACAGACAGAGCCAGGAACCAAACTCGGGCTTGCTGTGTTATTGAAAATAAAAAGAGGAGAAAATATTTGAATAAAAACAGTGGAGATAAAATTGAAGAAAGGTAAACCATATCAGCTGAAAGGGCCCACAGGTGTAGAAAAAAGACCAAGAAACCTCACACCCCAATACAGTATAGTAAATTTTAAGAATATCAAAACCAGGTGTGCCTGGGTGGCTCAGTCAGTTAAGTGTCCAACTCTTGATTTCAGCTCAGGTCATGATCTCATGGTTTGTGAATTTGAGCCCCACATCAGGACCAGCACTGGTGGAGCAGAGCCTGCTTGAGATTCTCTCTCTGCCCCTCTCCTTCTCTCTCTCTCTCAAAATAAATAAATAAATAAATAAAACTTTAAAAAAAAAGCTTTAAGAAGAAAAAAAAAGCATATCAAAACCGAAGGGAAACTGTAAGTTTCCAGAAAGAATTAGCGGATTACCTACAAATGTGCAAGATTTGGACAGACTTAGGATTTTTTTTTTTTGTTTATTTTATTTTATTTTATTATTTTTTTTTTTTACAAATAGTTTATTGTCAAATTAGTTTCTACATAACACTCAGTGCTCATCCCCAAAGTGCCCTCCTTCATGCCCATCCCCCCCTCCCCCCCACATCCATCAGTCCTCAGTTTTTGTCAGCATTCAAGAGTCTCTCATGGTTTGCCTCTCTCCCTTTCCCCTACCATTTCCGCCCTTCTTCTCCCCCTTGGTCCTCCGTCAAGTTCCTCCTAATCCTCCTATACGTGCAAACATATGGTATTTGTCCTTCTCTGCCTGACTTATTTCGCTCAGCATAACACCCTCAAGGTCCATCCATGTTGCTACACATGGCCACATTTCATTGTTTCTCATTGCCATGTAGTATTCCATGGTATAGATAAACCACATCTTCTTGATCCATTCCAGACTTAGGATTTTTTAAAAAAATTATTGTAGAGAGAGAAAGTGTGGGAGAGGGGCAGAGAGATAGAAAGACAGAGAGAGAGAGAGAGAGAGAGAGAGAATGCTACGCAGGCTCCATGCTCAGTGCAGAGCCTGATGAATGTGGGGCTTGATCCCACAACCATGGGATCATGACCTGAGCTGAAACCAAGAGTCAGTCGCTCAACCAACTGAGCCACCCAAGCACCCCCAGATTTAAGATTTCCTAAAAGCCAACACTGGGTACAAGAAATGATAGAGTACCATGGGTTGTTTTTTTAAAATATTTTTTTATTTATTTCTAGGAGAGAGAGAGAGACAGCGTGAACAGGGGAGGATCAGAGAGAGAGGGAGATACAGACTCTGAAACAGGCTCCAGGCCCTGAGCTGGCAGTCAGCACAGAGCCCGACGCGGGGCTCGAACCCACGAACCGTGAGATCATGACCTAAGCGAAAGTCGGATGCTTAACCGACTAAGCCACCCAGGCCCCCCTGTTTTTTTTTTTTAATGTTTATTTATTTTGAGAGAGAGACAGCATGAGCTGGGGGAGGGCAGAGGGAGGGAGACAGAGAATCCCAAGGAGGCTCTGCATTGTCAGGGCTGGAACCCACAAACCATGAGATCAGGATCTGAGCCCAAACCAAAAGTCAGGCGCTTAACCATCTGAACCATCCAGGCGACCTAGAGTTCATTACAGCGTGTAAAGCATTGAAGGAAAAGGGCTCTTGGCTGGCTCAGTTAGTGGAGCATGTGGCTCTAGGTCTCAGGGCTGTGAGCTTGAGCCTCACGTTGGGTGTAGAGATTACTTAAAAGAAAAATTAAAAAATAAAATAAAGCATCAAAGGAAAATCACTTTGGTCTTAGAATTTATATCCTGCCACATGAAATGCAAATGTAGGAGCATTAAATAAATGTTTTCAAACACACAAGTCCTCAGAAGTCTTAATACAAGAAAACACAAACTGAAAACACATTGGGAGGAAGAATTCAAATAAAAGTAACAAAATCTGAAGATGCTCCAATAAATCTGGAGTATCAAGGAGACAGAATGCTTCAGTAAAATGTGTTAGCTGTGCACCAAACACAAGCCCAGAGAATAGAAAAATGTTAAGTATGTTCATAACAACCCAGAATGAAAAATGAAGATCGAGAAAAAGCATCAACATTGTGGAAGGTGGAAGGAAAGAAGAACAAGAGATAAATAAAAACACACTAAAGGTTTTCTGGGGTGTAACAGAGATATTGTTGAAGTCCCCTCCCTGCTTATAACCTTTGGCCAGTACATAAAAAACCGGAAGATTAGAACACTGTATACACAGCAAGCTAGCTTTACCCTGCAAGATAAGTTTCTCAAGAACTGCACCAGAAAGTTCGGCAGGAAGCCAGAGGTTAGCACAATAACTGCGCTGTCTGCCTCTAAAGCCTACTTGCCACATAGACAATATTTGTATCTTAGAGAAACACGTCCTAGTCAGGCAGAAGCCTGGGAACCTAGTCAAGCCTGATAAGCTCAAGAATATAAGCTCTTCCCTGCTGCTATTCGGGGCTACTTGATTTGGGTGCTCCCCAAGCATGCCTGGCACTGAATAAAGAAGTGTGTGACGCCAATTTGGGTTCCTGTATTCTATTCACTGATCTTGGCTCGGGTGGCTACAACAATATTAATTTTTTTAAGAAGAGAGAAAATGAAATACTGAAAAAAACAGAACCAAGTGAAAGGAAAAGGTAAAATAGGAGAAATAAATCCATATGTATCAATAACCAGATGTAGCACTAAACACAAATGGAGGACATGAAATTGAAATTTTTTTTAATGTTTATTTACTTTTGAGAGACAGAGACAGAGTGTGAGTGGAAGAGAGGCAGAGAGAGATGGAGACACAATCCAAAGCAGGCTCCAGGCTCTGAGCTGTCAGCACAAAGCCCAACGTGGGGCTTAAACTCCCAAACCATGAGATCATGACCTGAGCTGAAGTCAGATGCCCAACCGACTGAGCCACCCAGGCACCCCAAAATTTCATTCTTGAAAACCTAGTTGTATACTGTGTACAAAAATAACTGTAGAAGCATAAATAAAATGTTGGAGGAACAAAAAATGGAAATATATCAGGCATCTTACTAACCAGTGATGAAGTGGTGTATCTATATTAAGATCCAACCAAATAGACTTTTGAAAAGTATCAATAGGGACAGAGAGGATCACTATGTGTGATCAAATGTTCAGTTCACGGAGAGGATACAATATTTCTACAATATATGGTTGTAACTTAAAAGTACATCAAATATAAGAAATATATTTGCTTGGGGTGCCTGGGTGGCTCAGTCAAACAGCTGCCTTTGGCTCAGGTCACAATCTCGCGGTTTGTGAGTTTGTGCCCTATGATGGGCTCTGTGCTGACAGCTCAGAGCCTAGAGCCTGCTTCAGATTCTGCGTCTCCCTCTCTCTCTGTCCCTCCCCCACTTGCACCCTGTCTCTCTCTCAAAAATAAACAAACATTAAAAAATTTTTTAAAGAAATATATTTGCTAAAACTACAGGGAAAAATGGATAAATACACTGCCCTAATGTAAGATTTCAACACACCTGTCTCAAATATTGATCAGTCAGGAAGACCTATTAGCAAAGATTTGGATTTGAACAATATAGTCAACACACTGGACAACTGACCTTATGTAGAACTTAAGAAATAGAAAATATATATTCTTCTTAAACCCCCAGAAAATATTTCCAAAAATTCATCACATATGAGGCCACGGTTCAAGCCTCAACAAATTTAAAAACTAAGTATCATAAAAACTGAGTATTCTGACCGAAACGCAATTTAGTTAGAATTGAATTATGGAAAGATGTTTAAAGATGTTTAAATCCCCATACATTTGGAACTTCTTTTTTTTAATCCCAAATGATTTAAAATTCCAAAAAGAAATTATGATACGGTTTGATAACATTTAGAACTGAATGATACTAAAATGACACACGTCAAAACCTCTGGGATGAAATTAAACTGGTGTTCTGAAAGAAATGAATCCATAAATACTTTTATCATGGAGGAGCACCATATGTGAAGTAGCTAAGCACCTAGCTTAAAAGGCTAGTGAAAGAACATCAGAACAACCAAAGCAAGTAGAAAGCAGGTGCTAAGAAAATGAGAGTCAAAGTAAATAAAATAGAAAAGAAGAAATACAGTGATAAAATAAAAAGTCTCAAAAGTTAGTGTCTTCAAACTGGCAATAAAATAGGCAAGCAATTAACAAGATTTGTTTAGAAACACAAAAGAGAGAAGTCACAAATAACCAATTTCAGAGGGGAAGTAATCCTAATCAAAATGAACAATATAAAATTAAAAGATTACCACCGATAACCTTTTGTCAAAAATATTATAAAGCTTAGGTGAAATGAACAAATTCCTAACCAAAAAAAAAAAAAAAAGCTGACCAAAGGACACCTAAAATAACTGAATTAGAAAAATTGTTCTTGGGGCGCCTGGGTGGCTTAGTCGGTT